CTTGGTACTTCATGGCCTCATCGAGTAATTCGTGTTCTTTTCCTCTGAGTGAGGATATGTTCCAGTTTCCGACTTTAAGCTCCCACTGGTGGTATCGTTTTCGTGGAGCCTTTTCTGACGTGCTCTAATGGCATCGCGTTGTCTGCCTCCTCCGTTCAGAACGGTTAGTGTCTCCGTTGCTGATTGGTATCTTGGTCGTCGTTTCGTCGGTCTTCGTCAGTCGTTGTTGTGCTGCTGCGCCCCTGGCTGGCAGAGGTCAATGAACAGGTTCTGATCGCCTACTTTTAGCCGTTTGCCTGGGTCCTTCAACAGGCTGCGCGGCCCTTGGTAACCGAGCCGGTACTATTTTCGATGGCGTCAGTACCATAAATTTCAGGTTGCTAAATTTTGCGAAGACTTGCCACGTTCTCAAACCCTTCTCCTTTCTCATCGGGGCTTTGGACCTGTAACAGCGGAGTCGGCAAAAAGAGATGAAGCCTATTCTCCTTTTAACGCACAAGGGCAATATCATCTGCATGCACCAACTCAGTAGGATATCTAACGTGATTGTTGTGCTGCGCTTTCAAACTTGAACGAGGCTTGTGTCTTTGCCCAAATCGTGCCTGTTTAGGCGAAGGAAGTGGAGAGCATTGTAGAAGAGGAGAGGCTCAACAGTTGGGAAGGGATCACTCTGAAGCGTTAGGACTCAGATGCGCAACAGTTTGGAAGGGATCACTTGCGCAACAGTTAGGAATTGATCACTCAGATGTCACTTTTCTTCAATTTTATAAGCAGGCATCGTTTCTTTACAGATCTCTTCAAAACGATGTCTTCAGGTTTCATATAGAATTTTAAGGTTTTCTACATGTGCATTACTCTGTGATCCTAAAAGAGTAAGAATTTTGTGCGACCTGGAATATCCCTCGACAACTTGCTTGATTTGAACGATCTTCTCTCTCCCGCTCCTACCTCGGCAAAAGATGTCCTCTGAGCTGACAGCAGTGTGCTATCAAAATAATTACATCACTCTGTCTCAGAACTCCGTTTAATTATAGGGACAGCTATGGCAGGCTTCAGTTCAGTTTTCCACGTAAGCATGCTGAGGTCCATGTTTAAATTTGACAGAGGTTTTCCACCATTTCTCTTCCGCCGTACTTGATTAAATCCAGGAGAATTTGATCCACCCTACAGACTGTCGTTATCCTGTAGCGTGGCGACTTTTTTCGGATTTATAGTTTTTTTGTAGGTATATCTATATCAACCTCTGGTGTTGATAGGAAATTAACGA